GATGTTTGAGGAGGGAATTACTCGCTCGGTGGTTAATGCAGAGGGGTCGGCCTGTCTCGTTGAGATCCCCTCCAACGTGAACCTGTTGACACAAGGAGGCAACTTGGTACCACAATTCAACTTGTTGTGTTCGGAGGCCGAGAACGAGTCCTTGAGGAATGTTTCGGATGTCGAAGTGATGGACGAAGTAGCTGTAATAGGCTTACGGGTACGTTATATCTGACTTTGATTTGTTTCTCCTTTGTTGTAGAATGAGCATTAGTTTAACCGCTTTCTTGTTTTGCAGATGTACATGTTGGAGGTAGAGAACATTCGCAGAGCCAATGTCTAGTCGAGGATCTTCTTGCAGATGCTGGAGAAATACCGTCGCTATCGCGATAGGTGCCGTGAGTTGTGCGAACGGTTAAGGACTGATCCCCGCAACCGGGCTTTGGGCGAGGAGTTGGAAAAGAGGGACCAGGAGCTAATGCAGGCGCTCCATAGCAAGAGCGAGCTCGAAGAGCAAATCCGCCTCAAGGACGAGGAGCTCGAGGTGGGCAAAGGGGTCGCTGCGGAATACGAGCACCTGCAGGGCAAGTTACGAGCAATGCAGTTGGAAATTGAGCAGAGCCAGGCCAGAGCAGCGGAGATGAACGCCGAGTGGAGAGGGAAGTTGACTGCGCTGGAAGGTAAGGTTGCCGATTTGAAGCGCATGGAGAGGGCAGCGTTGGATGCTTCGACGAGGGCAGCGGCCTTAGAGGCGGCAATTCGTATACATGAGTCCGAGCAAGAGTCGGAAAGAGCTACTGCAGCCCTTAGGGAGGCGAGGCTCGAGGAGCTGATTGGCGCGGTTGACCATGAGGCCTTAGTCTTGTCAGATCGGGTTGCGGCCTTGGAGGAGGAGAATCAGCGGTTGAGGGCCCAGGCTGGATCATCCCGTGCCGCTGTTCCCCGCCAGGCTCATGAACTCTGGGTCTATGTTGAAGTTCAACGTGATATTTTTAAGAACTTGTGGGAGGTGGGCACCGTGACTGAGGCAGCTTTCGAGGAGGTGCGCCAGAAGGCTCGTGAGGCTCGAGCCAACTGTGTATATGATGTGGCGACACCCGAAGCCGATGGGGACGTCAGTGGTGATGATGATAACGATGGTGTTGGCACCGAGTGAGAGAAAATTGTGTTTCGTTCTCTTTTTTTTAGTTGGCTGGCTTGGACCAGATGTAAGCGGCAATAGCCCGCATTTCTGACTTCATAAGTAAAGAATTGTTCGCTTCTTGCTTTACATTTCAGTTCTCTGGTGGCTTACGATCTAGTCGCGTGGTGGGGGATTTGTCAGACGAGTCTCTGATTCTCCTTATGTGATGAAAGTTTCTGGTTGTGGGTTTCGTTATGAACCTTTCGAGAGGAAAGCTCGTCTCGGTTCGAGTGAGGTCGAACTGTTGAATTTTGATGGCGAAGGCACTTAGCCTGAGTCCCAGTTCGAGCGAGGTCGAACTGTCGAATTTTGATGGCGAAGGCACTTAGCCTGAGTCCCAGTTCGAGCGAGGTCGAACTGTCAAATTTTGATGGCGAAGGCACTTAGCCTGAGTCCCAGTTCGAGCGAGGTCGAACTGTCAAATTTTGATAGCGAAGGCACTTAGCCTGAGTCCCAGTTCGAGCGAGGTCGAACTGTCGAATTTTGATGGCGAAGGCACTTAGCCTGAGTCCCAGTTCGAGCGAGGTCGAACTGTCAAGCTTTGATGGCGAAGGCATTTAGCCTGAGTCCCAGTTCGAGTGAGGTCGAACTGTTGAATTTTGATGGCGAAGGCACAGCCTGAGTCCCAGTTCGAGCGAGGTTGAACTGTCGAATTTTGATGTCGAAGGCACTTAGCCTGAGTCCCAGTTCGAGCGAGGTCGAACTATCAAATTTTGACGGCGAAGGCACTTAGCCCGAGTCCCAGTTCGAGCAAGGTCGAACTGTCGAATTTTGATAGCGAAGGCACTTAGCCTGAGTCCCAGTTCGAGCGAGGTCGAACTGTCGAATTTTGATGGCGAAGGCACTTAGTCTGAGTCCTAGTTCGAGCGAGGTCGAACTGTCAAATTTTGATGGCGAAGGCACAGCCTGAGTCCCAGTTCGAGCGAGGTCGAACTGTCGAATTTTGATGGCGAAGGCACTTAGCCTGAGTCCCATTTCGAGCGAGGTCAAACTATCAAATTTTGATGGCGAAGGCACTTAGCCTGAGTCCTAGTTCGAGCGAGGTCGAACTGTCGAATTTTGGTGGCGAAGGCACTTCCTGAGTCCCAGTTCGAGCGAGGTCGAACTATCGAATTTTGATGGCGAAGGCGCTTAGCCTGAGTCCCAGTTCGAGGTCGAACTGTCGAATTTTGATGGCGAAGGCGCTTAGCCTGAGTCCCAGTTCGAGCGAGGTCAAACTGTCGAATTTTGATGGCGAAGGCACTTAGCCTGAGTCCCAGTTCGAGCGAGGTCGAACTGTAGAATTTTAATGGCGAAGGCACTTAGCCTGAGTCCCAGTTCGAGCGAGGTCGAACTGTCGAATTTTGATGGCGAAGGCACTTAGCCCGAGTCCCAGTTCGAGCGAGGTCGAACTGTCAAATTTTGACGACGAAGGCACTTAGCCTCTGTCCCAGTTCGAGCGAGGTCGAACTGTCAAATTT